ACATGATACAAATATAATATATTTGTCGAACATATATTTATGTTTATTAAATATTTGAAGTTACACAAACATGTATTTTTTTCTAATAGTATGTACTTATAGAAGGTCAACCGTAATTAATAGCTTTGCTATCCAATATTGATGTGAAATTTAATATGCCTGCTTGCAAAAAGTAATGATAGTTAAATGATCAATTAGTAATAAAATACACATATTAATGAAAAACAAGAATACAAAATATTTCATGTGATTACATAGTAATAGTTTCATTATTGTGGTAATTAAAGCTCCACTCTTTGTTGACAAATAAATAAATTATTAACAAGTAAATAAATTATCAATAGCAAGCATCTTTCACTTAATTTTCTTATAATTATTATATTTTTTTTTTAACTAAGATATTGTTTTCCTTTAACTAATAATCTTTTACTTAATTTTCTTATATTTTGCATTTCTTTAACTAATATATCGCTTCTCTTTAACTAATTATCTTTTGCTTAATTTTCTCATGATTATTGCATTTCTTTTTAACTAATATATCACTTCCCTTTAACTAATAAATACCATATTTAAATAAATCAGTTATGGAAAGTGTATAGAAATGTTTTTCATTTGCGCTTTATTTTAACAACAGAAATATTTTTCATTTGTGCTTTATTTTAACGACTACTCATCTTTTTTATTCTGGTTGGTTAGGCTTTTTTGTTAAAGATAATCATGAGGAACTTTAGGCTAAACTATTACTTTTTTTTGAAAATATTGAAGAATATAACCTGTTAATAGAATATGAAAATAACCTCTCAATATAGTGTGAAAGTATTATTGACCCTGCTCAAAATAGTAGTATTTTAGAACATGACTTGAACAAATTGGTTATAAAAAGTAAATAGAGATATGTTTTATTTTGCGCTTTATACTTTATCTAACTACTTATTTATCTTTTTTGTTTGGCTCTAAATTCGGGTTAGGTTTTTTTGTTGAAAATCACAGTGAAGACGAACTATTTCTTTTATTCAAAAATATTGCAAAATATTATTCTTTAGTAGAATATGAAAATAACCTCATGATATGGTATGAAGGTGTTATCGACCCTGTTCAAAATAGTAAATTGGTTACAGAAAGTAAGTAGTGATATTTTTATTTCATGCTTTATACATTATTTTTACTGCTTATTTATTTTTTTTTTGTCTTAGTCCAGAATTCAGATTAGACTTTTTTGTTGAAAATTCTACAGAATGTAATCATTTAGTAGAACAAGACAATAGCCTTACAATAGAGTATAAAAATGCTCAGAATGGTAATACATAAGAAATGATAGAATTTACACAGAAGAACAGGTTGGTGGCCAAAGTTCTGTATTGAATATTCTCAAGAAAGCATAGGATTAGAAAATGCTGCTCATATTAGTGTTGTTGACATCTTTTTTTGTAGAAAGTAGCTAAAAAACGAGTTAATCAATATGCAAGATTAGTTGGATTTTGTTTATGTCATAAACAAGTTAAAATTGATGATGATGAAATTGTTCATTGATGAATGCTTGAGTGTAGTTTCTCTGAAATAACTATTCCTAATAAAGTAATTGATTTAACTAAACAACGTGAGCAACCATCTAGAAAAATTGGGTACTTCTGGCACATCAATTTAACTCAATCTTAAATTTCATCAGTAGTTGGTATCATAAGTATCGTTGGGAAGCACAATCATTCTATGATATCTGAAGTAAGTTTATATGCTCCTAAGCAGTATTTAAAATTGGCTTGCACAAGATACACATGTGCAAGAGTTTTTTTGGATTTTTTTAGATTTTTAAAAAATCTCTTAAGTGTGTAAATAAACTTTTTAAAAAAAGTTGCTCAAAATACATTTGTGCATGTAATTTTTTTTTTGAATTATAAACACTGCTCCTACTGTAAGTATCATAGACTATTAGATGATATAATAGAACAAATTAAATTCTATGTTATCAAGAGAAACATGGGTTCAAAACAAATATATTTGCTATTAATTGCAAGTTTCCCTGATCAAATAATATATAAGCAAGATCTTTATAATACTATCCAAAAATTTAAGTCACTTTTACTAAACGTCAAGGTGATACTCAAAATATAATCAATAAATTGCTTGAGTTACAGGATCAAGAATCTAGTTGGATAATTAAAATATAACTTGACCCATATGATAACTAACTTTGGGAATTATTTTGAATATCTTCTACACAACAACAAAAACTTATACACTATAATGATATAGTACAAATAGATAATACATGTCAAGATCATGGTGAAATTTGGATCATCATGAAATCTAAAAACCTCATTGGCTGATCACTCTAACCCTAACCAATCACGTATATTAATTACATATTAATTTCACAATGATCCAAATTTTACCATGATCTGTGACAATACATATCTAACTAACTGGTTTAACATGCATTTGACTCTTCTAGTGGTTGTTGACAATAATACTAAAAGTTAGCTCATCGCTCAATGCTTGTTGGATGATGAAACAACCAAAAGTTATTAGTGGTTTCTCAACTGTGTTCTTGAAGTGACCAATAATATTCTGCTGATTTGTCTGTTTTCTGATTCAGAGCCTGCTTTAATAAGAGCAATAATGTTAAAAATATCTACTACCCATCACTTTCTTTGTATCTTTCATACGTATACAAGAGAATATACGAAAGAATTTACAAAGTAAACTTAGTAAAAATTACAATCTATTTTAGAATTTTTGTATACCAGAAACAGTTTATTTGAGAATAATTTTTGTCGTCACTAGACATATTTATTGGAAAAATATCCTCAAATATGAGATTATCTTAATCACACTTTACAACTTTAAATTGGTGCATAAGCAAAATGCTTCCAAGTTAAATTCTTCACAGCCAGAATCCAAAGTACACAGCGAGTTGAAGTCATGAATAGAATCATAAAAGAGAGTATTAATAGTACATTTTTATTATATAATCTACATAATACAATTCAAAAACTGTTGGATAATAAAGCTCAATAGGCTCAATACAATTCATATCTTCAAAGCCTTCCGGTCAATCAGGCGCCTTTTATAATCGAACCTATATTCCAGATGTACTCAAGTTGTTAAAAGATTATTTACCTCCTTATATTCTATCTGTTTAGTGTTAGCAAATACTTGGATCATTACTCTATCATGCAAGACTAATTTCTAAAAAGACAATTAGTGTTATACAAGAAGTGAGTTATGTAATATTAATAATGGTTGTTTATCTTTAGATAATAAAATACTTATAAGTTTGTTTTTTTTTAGGATCCTGATCAGCTTAGTTATGATACAGGTTTTCTTGAAGACCAACTCGATGGACCGCAAATAGCAATTCATTCTCTTTTGAATGGAATACAATTATTAGACATTTTGGAGATGTGAGAACTTTTTGGGCTTACAACAACATACAAGCATATTGTAATTCTGCTAACTGACGGAAGGCATTTATATACTTGTCTAGCTATTATTAATTGTGAACTTGTATGTTCACACTTTTTTCATATTATGATGAATTCCAAAGCTGCTAAGTTCAGTACGTATTGGACTTATTACAAAATGATGGTATAGAGATAGCATTTATGATCAGGAGATTCAATCAAATTAACAAGATATAACTGTAGGAGCAGTAACTCAGTTTCAACAAGTTAGTTCTGATTGTGCAGTAGTATCTGATTTGCATATTCTAGACCATTTTAGAGTACCGCATATCTTCACAACTGAAATCAAACAACATGTTCAAAAGAAAATCAAATTTGTATCTGGTTTTGGAAAGGCAAAGGCAGCACTTAATTTAGCGATTGCCATGGGCTGTGAGGATGAATTTATTGACATGATAAATGGCTTTATCAATCAGAAGAAAAGTAATATTAGTAATGCAAATAATAAAAATAATAAAAATTTACATATATTGGATCTCTTGGTTCAAAGACGACATGGACGCCCATCACATAAATGTATCAAGTCATTGACAGAAAATAATTTACATGATGCTAGTACTAAATACAGTACAATTAATCTGGTTGATCTGAATCTATATATACGCAATACACACTCAAGGCATGATACAAATATTACTGCCCACCATTACAACATATACTTAGCAACAATTATAATAAAAATCATACTGAAGAGAATACAGAAAGCACTGTCAAGCGGAAATATGTATGCAAGCTATGCAGAAATCCTGGTCATAATTCTCGGAGGTGTGATGGTAATGGTAATAAATAGGCCTAAAAAAGACTAGTTCATATGTATATAGCACAAGATTCAAAGAATATACTTTTATTTGTGTAGCAAGGATAATTAGTTTGATAATAGTTTTTTACAATTTAGTGTTTGCTTTTTTTCACATGCATATCGATCTATAATAACGATAATAATAAAGCTTGTAACTATTTACTATATAATGTTTTGTGTTACAATTGCAATTCCTTTATCTAACAATGCTCGATTCAAAGGACCCGATCCATAACTTTATAAATATTGTAGGGTCAGAATTAGAATTGTGTTAACACGTATTAAGCTAGAGTTGGGTTTGAGATTATTAGGTTTTAAATGCATTTCCAACACCTTAATTTATACATACTTTCGCAATTGGTTTACCGATACTTTTAAGTGGCACTTATCAAAATGTTAAGTATGTACATACCTATTTTTTTTGCATTTATGTTTTGCCACTTTTGTTGAATTAACTTATGCTATACGAAATACATTTCTAGATACCCATCGCTTGGTTGTTGGCCTGTATTTTATCGTACATATGTATGTATGGGAGTATATGTACAGTAAGTGCACCTATATAAGTGCACACCCTCTCAATGCACGCTCACTTCGGGCCCAAGTATATGACCTCCATAAATGTGCTCGGTCCCAAGAGCGTGTACTTAGATAGTATAGTTTTGTAATACATGTTTGTGTAACTTCAAATATTTAATAAACATAAATATATGTTCGACAAATATATTATATTTGTATCATGT